GCAGCAAAGGGACCCATCTCAGATGGAAAGATGCATGCAGATCAAAAGTAAAGGAAGAGAGAAAAAATATTTCATGCATATGGAAAAGAAAAAAAAAAGCTGGGGAAGCCATACTTATATCCAACAAAATAGACTTAAAATCAAGGCTATGGTAAGAGACAAAGAAGGACATTAAATAATGATAAAATGGACAACCTAACAAGAGGGTATAACCTGAGTAAATATTTATGCACCAACATAGGAGCACCTAAATATCTAAAACAAATCTTGATGGACATTAAGAGAGAAATTGACAGAAATACAGTAAATTCCTGTCTACAAATGTAGTTGGGGATTTTGACACCCCACTGGATAAATTATATAGCAGATAAATCTTCCAGGCAGAAAATCAGCAAAGAGACAACACCCTTCAACGACACACTAGATCAAATAAATTTAATTGATATCTCCAGAGTATTTCACCCCAAAGCAGCAGAATATAAATACTTTTAAAATACCCATGGAACATTTTCTAAGATAGGCCACATGTAAGACACAAAACAAGTCTCAATAAATTTAAGAAGATTGGAATCATATTAAGCATCTTGTCTGACCATAATGCTATGAAACTAGAAATCAATCACAAGAAAGACACTGAAGAACAAGCAAAAACATGGTAGCTAAACATATTATTAAACAATGAATGAGTCAACAACAAGATTAGGAAGAAATCAAAAGACACCTTGAAACAAATGGAAATGAGGACACAACAATCCAAAATCTGTTGGACACTGGGAAAGCAATCCCAAGAGGGAAATTTATAGCATAATAGGTCTATCTAAAAAATCAAGAAAAAGCTTATATAATCTAACTTCACACTTAAAGTAACTTGAAAAGAACAACAAACAAAACCCAAAGTGAGTAGAAGAAAGGAAAATACTAAAGCTATAAAGTTTTTGCACAGTACAAGGAATCATCAACAAAATAAAAAGACAACCCACAGAATGGGAGAACATACTTGATGATATGTTTGATAAGGGGTTAATATTCAAAATTTATAAAGTAGTTACAAAACTCAACACCAAAAAAACAAACAACCTAATTAAAAAATGGGCAAAAGACCTGAATAGACACTTCTCCAAAGAGGACAAACAGATTACCAATAGACATATAATAAGATGCTCAATGTCACTAATCATCAGAGAAATGAATATTAAAACCACAATGAGGTACTATCTCACACCAGTCAGAATTGCTATCATTAATAAATCAACAAACAAGAAGTGCTGGTGAGGATGTGGAAAAGGGGAACTTTTTGCACTGTTGGTGGGAATGCAGATGGGTGCAGCCACTGTGGAAAGAAACATGGAGATACCACAAAAATTAAAAATGGATCTGCCTTTTGACCCAGAGATCCCACTTCTGGGAATACATCTGAAGGAACCCAAAATACTAATTCAAAAGAACATTAGCACACCTATGTTCATTGCAGCATAATTTATGGAAGATAAAGGCCAAGATATGGAAGCAGCGCAAGTGTCCATCAATAGATGAGTGGATAAAACAACTATAGAACATTCACACAATGGAATACTACTTGGCTGTAAAAAAACCCTGAAAATTTTACCCTTTGCAGCAGTATAGGTAGAATTGGAGAACATTATACTAGGTGAAATAAACCAGTCAGAGAAAGACAAATTCCATACGATTTCACTCGTATGTGGAAGGCAATGAACAAATTGAACTAAAAAGAAAAATGAGAACAGACTCATAGATGGAGAGCAAATGAAGGCCAGTGGGGAGGAGGGAGGTTAGGGTTGGAGGGATTGAGCAAAAAAGGTAAAAAAGACTCATGGACATGGACAGCAGTGTGGTGATTGCTGGGGGGGAGAGGGGTTAACATAAGGGGACTAAATGTTAATGGAAAAATAATAAAATAAAGATTAAAAATAAATTAAAAAATTGATTTTGCAATGTTGCTTTCACTGATGTTATAGAGAGATATTAGTGCATTGCTGGTTTTTATTAGCATCTTTTGTTATGTCTACAATAAAAACCTAGATGTTTGAAAATCCAGTCTACTGGATAGTTTCAAGCATCTCAATCAGAGTGAACCATTAGAATTGAGAAAGAAATACCTCTCCTCTGTTTACACTAGTCATGTTCCACATGTTAATACACCTTTTTCCTGACCAAAAAATCTGGGAATGAAAGATGGTATCTGTGCAATCAGAATCAAAGCAGAGAAAATGACCGATAGGGGGCAGAGGACCTGGTCTCAGCCAACAACAAAAAAATGCAAGCACGAGACAGTATTTTTACAATGTGTGTAGAAGATATCAAAGGCTTCAAAGTAGGGGCTATTTTGTGAACATTCATTAGTAAAAGACAAATAAGTGAGCAAAAAATAAAAAATAAATCCAACAACCCCAAAATTTATACACATACATAGTATTGAAAAGAGGTAAGGAAAAAATAGTTCTTTAGTTTAAATTATCTTCAGTATATTCTATGGATAAATATCTAAAGGAATTTTTTATGATTGCTCCTAAAAAGGCATTGTAAAAAATACATGTTACAGAGAATATAATCTTCACACACTCAGAAACCAACCTATAAAATGTATTGTTTCATGGTATCTCTGGGCATTTATTTCATATGACCTATAAGAAACAATATGTATTTTTTTCCTCAGATCTTTCTCTTTTCTGTTACCACTGTTACTCTTAATTACTTCTACTACTAATATTCCTGTGAATACAGGCTTCCCAAAATTTTCTTCATATTTTACAACCTTAAGAAAGTAAACCATAGCTTTCTGGGGTTGTTAAATCTAGAACTTTTGGCTTTCAGATTCTCTTCCTCATAGTTTTACCCTACCGGCCATTACCTCCCACTGCTTTCTTTTTTAATTAAATCATTTTTCATTGTTATTTTATTACAGTTGTCCCAATTTTCCCCCCTTGCCCTCCTCCACCCATTCCACTTCCTTCTAACACTAGCCCTGAACTACAACTCCAGTCAACTCTTTTTTATTTTACTTGTTTTTTTCTCTATACTATGCTTTCCCAATCACCTACTGTGAAATAGTGGAAAATGCATGTACTGGTCTCTGCCCCCAGTTTCTGGCACAGACCTCTTAAATTCTTTGGAATATTCTGGGTGACAGGAGAGTCTTTTGTTCTAATGAGGCAAACAATGGGTTCCTAGATGAGGAATCATCAGCAGAAGGATCAAGCCATGATTAGAAGCTTAGAACTTTCAGCCCGGCTACTCATCTTTTAGGAAGGGAAGAGGGGCTAGAGATTGAGTTAATGATTAATCATGCCAATATGATGAAGCCTCCATAAAAAAGACAACAGTGTGGGGTTCAAGGAACTTCTTGATTGGTGAAGGCATCTACATGGAAGATGGTGCACCCCAACTCCACAGACACAGAAGCTCCTGCACTTGCGACCCTTCTGGACTTTGTACTGTGTATGGCTGTTCATTTATGTCTTTGATTATATCCTTTGTTATATAATAAGCTGGTAACATGAATAAGTGTTTTGCTGAGTTCTGTGAGCAGTTCTAGCAAATAATTAAGTTCAAGGCAAAGGGTCCCATGAACCTTCAATTTGCAGCCAAGTCAGACATAAATTGTGGATAAATTGTGGACCAGCTAACTGCAATTGAAATATAAGGTGAGGGGTGGGGCATCTCATGGGACTGTGAGATCTGTGCTAAATCTAGTTAATGTCAGAATCCAATTGACTTGTAGGACAACCAGCAGGTATCACAGAGAATTGTTTGATGTGGGAAAAGAATTCACACATCTGGTGTCAAAAGTGTGGGAGTGTGTTAGTAGTGTGAGAGTAACAGCAAAACACACGGAAATAGGTTTTTCTTTACAACCACTTTTATCTTTTTCCAGGTATCTAATTCTAACCATTCATCAAGGTACAAATTTTGAATTCCTTCCTTCATGAAGTCTGCCCTCACCACCTTTGGTAGTAGCCGAAGGGTGCGGAGCAGGATAGTTTCAGCGGGCTTTCCTGAGGATCGGTTCTAAGTTTTGCCCTTGCATTAGTGAGGCAATTCTGTACCCTTGTAATTATTTTTTTAAAAATTCCCGAAGCAAATCCATGTGGGATTTCATTTTTTTTGCTGCCAAAGAACTTTGAATGATATATGTAGCTTGGGGAATTGAAATGTGACTAGTAGAAACTGAAATGTGCTGTAAATGTAAAGTGCACACACAATTTCAAAGACTCACTATAATAATAATATAAACTACCAATATATTTCTATATTGAATATACAGTTCCATAGCACTTGTATGAATAGGGTTAAATAACATCATTAAAAGTATTTTCTTTTTACCTTTTTAATGTGTCAACTAGAAAATTTTAAATTACATGTCTAGCTCACATGATATTGCATTAAACAACACTGATTTAAAATGATTTATTTTCCTAATATGGAAATATTGGAATGAAAATTACTATTTTCCTGAAATTTTAGGAACTTATTGAAAAATCTGCAGTTGTATCCTGTATATTTACAACTCCTTTCTGTACCTAGATCTTCATATTTTAGAGAGACTGTCCTAACTATGTTATTCTCAGATATACAATTAAAGTTAAGAAGAAAAGAAAACAACAAAACATAAAAACAATTACTTAACCATATGTGCTCTATCTTACATCTTTAGTGATTAAAAGTTTAAAGCAGAAACATGTTTATTTTTTTCATTCTACTTCTATCACTGAAAAGATTTACATACTTGAATGCAATTCACTTTAATATTCAGAGTCAAGAACATGATAAGGTAGTTCTGTTACAAGTTGTCATTTCAAATAATGTAGTTTTTTTTAAGTTTCAGCATAAGTAAGATTAAAAATTAGTAAATTTTTGTGAGAGAGTTTATATGACTCACTCAATCTTTAAATACATTAAAAATATAAATATTTTATGAATTTCAAGTTGAAATTCATACTATGCACCAAAAAGAATTTATCATCAATACAAGCAGTACTTGCCTGATACTCTTGCAGGTTTTTCTGTTTAAAACAAAAAATGAAAAACAAAAAAACAAAAAAGAATGTTCGTTTAACTCAGATAAATAATAAATGCAAAGAAATTATAAATTAATGAAGTATATAAATTTTTTAATATCTTTTGACTTTTTCCTTATTGTCTAAGAGTTAATGAAGAAATATAGCTCTCTATTGTGTGAGAACATGGGCCTTTGAATATCTTAATTGCTTTTATGTGTGACATTAAAAAACCTTGTTAATCATAGCAGGTGTCACAACATATTTATGTTTTCTACAAACACTAAAATCAGCAGGGTCTTTTTTTAAATTAAGTGTTTTGGTTCAACTATAATTATACTTAATTTGCAAAAAATTACTTTGTATGATATAATTAATCTAAATATTTGCTTTAAAGTTTCCAAATTTCATAAAATTACATCATTGAGAATTAGTTTCCTTTCAAATGTGAATAAAGACAAATAACTACCAATTGGACTGTAAAATCAAATCTTAAAAAGCAACATGCAGAAGCAGTTTAATTTCTCATAACTATTTAATAGTTTCAATGAGACATAATTCTTCAAAGTAATATGGTTTTCCATTAAACTGCAAGTATTTAGGGCAAAAATATAGTGAGATGATTGTCTCAAATACTATAGCAGGCATTCTAACTTCTTGAAAAGAAGATTGGGGACATCTGCATTCTATCAACATTAGTCTAATATAAAAGCCTAGGCTTGAAAATATTTTTAAAAGGAATCTGCATTACATGATTTACTTTGAGACCTGTGGATTTTCTAATATAGGCTTAATTCTGATGTTTCTAAGAGCTACAAATTTATAAAAATTAAGTTAATGCCAGTAGAGAGTTTTTTAAAATGTTTTTCACTTAGGTTTCTTATGTTTTCAGTGATAGTACAGTAACACTTCATACATAAAATTGCAAAACAAAATAATTAAAAAATACACTTTGGTAAGGCTAACATGTTATCATTTTTTCTTTAAAAATACTAGGATTGGCTAAAAAGAAAGGAACTTAGAAAGGAATAAAATATTTATTGAGATATAACAAACTACCTGTTGAGTGAAGGAATGAATAGAAATGTGACTATACTCTCAAACCAGTTCTGGCTTGGACTTGTGCTTTTATATGTAAAAAGTCTTTGTTACTGTGTATTCATAATATAAAGATCTTAGAAATGATGGACTCAGAGAATAGCATCAAAAGGGTGCATCCGTCCAACGTCTGAAATCCTTGCACAGCCCTCTAGTCATAGCCTTAATAGACTACCTCTTTGGGAATAAAGTGGTGTACATTTTATATTTGCCCTGCAACCATTGGTAGAAAGCTTCCCCTTGTATTTGCCACAGTGTAATAGGAGAATAAAATATGATTGAATGGGCTTAAGTCTTTGACATCATATTGACGTGGAGCCAATTCCTGTCTCTATCATATAAACACTCTGAGATGATAGGCTTCTTTTCATCATACTTTTACATCATTAAACTGCACATGATCATTGGTCCTGCACAAATGTTTAAATTAACTAATAATAGGAAAGAATATGGCTATGGGTATTCTAGGCCATTGGTTTCTTCTCATTCTTCTTGATTATCTTAAAAGATTATTAAATAATATTTTAAAGAAAGTACCAACATGCAAATTGTGCTCCTATATCTTTCTACAAATTTAATTTGCTCTTACTCTAAAATTTGCTCCTTAATATTATTGATAATTACATGTCTAAAATTATTAATAATTATATATATATATATATATATATATATAAATGCCCTGCCATTTTAGGTACATACTAGAGTAATCAGCAAGAGGAAGCAGTGAAAAACAAAACACACTCCCCCAACACACACACTAGGGATCAATATAATTACAAATGAGAATACTTGTACAATCAGACAAGAATGAGACAGAAACCAATATTCAATGAGTGACAACCAAGTGTGTAATGGGAATGCTACATATGTTGTTTTATTTAATACTTAGAACAAGCCTTTGGGAAAGTCACTATGCCTGTTCTATAGATGAGGACACTGGGAATCCTAGCAGTTAAGGAATTTTCCCAAATGTCACATAGTTAGATAGAGGCTCAAATTTACATACTGTTTCCACAGATCTGTGTTGCCTACTCTGGAAAAGGGCACAGGATGCCGGGGGTGGGCAGGGGGGTCCCTCTTGCCCACTCACTCTGGGTGGCGCCCCGTCCCCTCCCTGATGCTGAACCGTCTCAAGTGCAATGATGACCCCTCCCTCCTGGGCCAAGGGCAGCTGGCCCTGTCACCGCGAGGTGGCTGGCCGAGCAGACAGGGCCTAGGGGCCAAGCTGGAAAGGCCAGCAGTGGCTTCTCCCAACACTCTGGGGACCAAATATATATAATGGTTAAGGGACATGTCCCACGTCTGACAGCCAGCGCTCAGACAGGGCCAGCGGCCCATCCCCCACAATCCTGTACCTACTCCAGGACTGGGGCCCGAGGGTAGTTTTTATCTGCACCGTTGACTCAGTATAGTTTAAGAACCCACCACCTGCACAGAGGTTTTTGAAAGGAGAACAAAGGTTTCCTTTCTCTTCCCTTCTTGTAATAAATGGTAAACCCCCAGTTCTCATCACTGCCTTGCCTTTGGAAGCATGTTTAGAAGACAGTGGCGTGTCCTACACTGGTTTACACTGGTTGCTGAATTTACCTGTATTCCCAACTGTTTTGTATATGCTGCATTTAGACTTTCTTATGGCAAAGAAGCCATTTTTTTTTAAAGGAAACAGACTCAACAAATCATGAAGCTGTGTACACGCTGCATGTACCTACAAAGCTCTGAATTCAGGTCCCAGTTGCTGTCACAAAGGAGTGAAGGGCGCTCCCAGTCCACCCCTTTTTATAGAATAAAAGTGCCTTAGCGTGTGTTGCAGCTATCACCACTACAGGAAGCTGGTTTACAGATGTTTTCCACTGAGTGTCACAATAAAGAGTACCATGTGCTACGATTCTTACCTGAATACTTACCTGATTCTCTGACTTCTGATGTTTCCACTTTAGAAAAGAAGAATATACAATGGGGAAGAAAGGAAGAAAAATAATGAATAGTTTTTTATTTAAGTAGCAGACAACTGAGTATCAGCTGCAGATATTTCTGATTGAATTCTAATAGTAATAACAATAGAAGTCTATACTAAAAATGGAAAAAAATACTGATAACTAATATTTCTGAAAACTGTAACTGGAAATCTATTTTGAAAATAGAACCATTTTATAAGCACTCAAACATTCTATTCACATGTGATAGAATTAATTCTAAGTCCTTTGGTTGTTTTTTTGTTTTCTTTGAATTTTATTTTTTTATTGTTCAAATACATTTGTCTCCATCTTCCTGCCACCACTTTCTCCTGCGCCCCTCAATCCTTTCCCACTTTGGCTTTGTCCATGGGTCCTCCACACATGTTCTTTGACTTGACCCTTCCTCTATTCTTGGTTTAATCATTTTTTTCTTTTTCTTAATTAATTTATTTTTTCAAATACATTTGTCTCCGCCTTATCCCTCTGTTCTTCATAATTATAAATGATTATAAATTATAAATCTCCATTGTATAAACTTTAAACTTGATCTTCATATATCCACAAATGCAAGCATTCATTGAATATATTCACAAAACAACTTCATATATAAAACTTACTAAGTGCAACAGTGGGATTGTGGGATGAGTTTGAAAAATATCACAGAAATAAACTCAACTCATGAGGACTACAGGTAAAGTAATAAGATGAGATATAAAATGCTATTTGTTCTTAGTCAATGATAATGTAGAATTAATTTTTTGTTTCTTAAGTGAATTTATAGACTAATAACATTTAAAAATAGAACATGTCAGGTTTTTGATAATATCTTTCCTCACGAATGAACTGAAATGAGAACCTGATACATTTAATTTCAATCTTATATAGCTTTTTTGGAATTTTTTTTCAAATTCAAAAAAATTGATTAAAATATTTTACAATAATTAAGACAGAAAACAAATAGTATGTCATAAATAAAACAGTATTTGTAAATGATTATATTTTATATTAGCATCCTAGTTTTGACTTTCAATCCTCAATTTTTATTATACTCTTCATATTAGCAACAACAATACAAACTATGTAGACAAGGGATTTTCTCCAACTCAAAGGGAACCTTTAATGTTTTACGTTGGTATCAAAATCCATTCTGAGGAAAAATTAGCTGCATTTGTAAGAATATGTCATAACACTGTCAAGAAACCTGGTTAGTCCTTGTCATTTAAAAACTTCAGATACAACTCCTTACACATATTTTTACCCCAGGGTAAAGTCTGGGTCATAATTTCACAGTATTAAATAAGCATTTAATTTTTTATAAAATTTCATACCATTGATAAAATTAAAAAATTTCATAAACTGTTTTACCTTATTGTTTGAAACATCAAAAAATGTAATTCTGAAATATCAAAACAACTTACCTTCCATATTTGACAAAACAAGAAAATGAAAAACTAATGTGTTAAAATTAAATAGACAGATATTATGTGTTCTGTATTTCTCTGAGCCCAGTAGTGTCTATTAGAGAGAACTCCATACTATGCTTACTTAATACATCCTAACAAACAACCTATAGTATACAAAAGAGAGATGCAGCTACTTTTATTTTTTTGCATAGGTATTAGTTAGCATGTTAAATGTGCAAGTATGACGACAAAACAACATTTTAGGCATTTCTCATATTTCTGATATGGTATAATATATCTAATAGGTGCTCAATAAATACATGTTCAAGAATTAATAAATACAATACACACAATATTTCTCAACCGGAGTCATTTGTGTAGTTAAAGGCATAATGTCTATTGCATTAATAAACATACTGTGCTTTTAAATGCATGTACAAGAAGCATAAATTATACATTTAAAATTATTAAATAGCAAGTTCTTAAAGTTCTAAAATAGTACACTTACTTAGAGTTGGTTTTGATTTGTCTAAAAAGTAAAAAAGAAAAGAAAAGAAAATTAACAATAATTTTCTATCTATAGGTAAAATACCAGCCATTTTAATTTCTTATTTCTGTTATTTCCCACTTCAAATAGACTAAAAATAAACTTAAAATTAAAGTGAACACTAAACAATGAATGCATTTTGAGCAATTTTTAAGTCATACTCCCAATGCATTTTTGAAAAGTTGTAAATTTTCAAAATATAAATTCTTCATGGTCCCTTTTTTATCCTTGTAAAACCTCATCTTTGATTTGATACAATATGAATGCTCCAATTTGATAAAGTATGAATAACTTGAACTCCTTATTGTTTCTGAATAACAAAAAATTTATGTTCTGTCACTTTCTTTACAGAATACATATTAACATTAATTATTATTAACTATTTAAACACTCCTAATCTAGTTTTTGGATGAATAAGCTTACTTTATAAAATCTTAGGAAGAATAAATGAACAGTAGGTGAAAAACACAAAGTTATACTATTTAAATACGTGATCTGTCTCCAATGTAACACGTCTCCTCAAGTTATTGACTAAAAGCATTAATTATTCAGTCTTACACTGCAAGATCTATTTATTCATTAAAAATAACCAACATTTGTTCATCATTGTGAAGAATTTTAATCATCCAAAATCATGTCAATGAATTAATTAACAGTAGGCAATGCAAATTGATATAACTTTTCAGAGAACAATTAAAAATATCTATAAAAATTACATTTTACTAAAATTTTTTACTTTGAAGAGTTTTATCCAAAGTTAAATTTACAAAACTAGACAAGTAGATATATTTATTATTTTATATCTTCAAAGAAAACCTTCAAAATACATTCAAATAGAAAAATCTAAGGAAAAGTCTATTTATACTATGCCATGATTTATGTAAAAAAAGTGGGATATATATTATGTGTATGTATGTATATATATACACACATATATATAGAAGGATATATTAAGAATCAACAATGATTACTTATTGGATATTATTAGATATTTTGGGAGTAGGAAGTGGTATAACAGGAAAAAATTGCATGTTTGGCAATTCATATATATAGGTTATAATATTTAGCAAAATGTTGAATTGTCAACAGTAGCACTGCCCCATGTAACATGAACTAGATTTTATCACAAAACCACAAGACTAAGCACTTCCAGAAAACAAAATGAAAAGCACTTTTATGCTTTTCTTTAATTTGACTTTAATAAAAATAAGAATTAAGAGAATGTAAACCAAAAAAGTGAAAACACCTGTTTTTATAGGTAGAGATTCTTTTTCTTGATGTTCAGCTTTTTCTAAAGAAAGAGAAATCAAAATTAACTGGTAATCCATAGATTATTTATATAGCAAGATTTTCTTATTTATATATTTGTAGGATATTTTCTTTTATAGGGAAGCAGGCCCCTAAAGTCTTTTGCATATAACCTGGAACATGGAAAGTATAGTGGCATAGAAACACATTAAAAACAAGGTTGGGTTCATTCTTGGGGCATCTTATAAGAGAGATATGAAGGTAATAGCCAGCTTGGGACTATGTGATATAAAAAAAAGATGGAGGACAACAAAGAGGGGGATAATAAGAAGATTTTTCGTTCTTTCTTGAGTCATTCCTTGGGAACATTTGCCTTTGCATATTACAAGCTCCCTTTTTACCTTTAGACTCCTTCTAGATCCCTCCTTACTGGATCAGAAGCAATTTTGTACTGGACATTTATTTCTTATTGAAAAATTAACATAGACCAGGCCTATTCCAGTAAGTGCCACATGTGTATTTGTATTTTTTGGGACCAACTACATGGTCATTTCAGATCTAGTTAGAATTCTCATTGATGAATATAAACTGGGTCTAATACCTGAGAAATAGAATCAAAAATTGGTATCTCTGCTAGTCTTCTGAAAAATATTTGAAGTAAAAAAATTAGGAGATATCTCTCTTTCATCAAAAGTAGAATTTCAAATGAAACCATGGAGGGTAACATATTTTGAATAAATTTTGAAACTATTTTGAATAAAGCTGAGAATAGCTATCGGAAATAGCTATCTTTGCCAAGCATTAATTCTTTCTACTCACTTCCAGGGTTAGTCTTCCTGAGCTGTTATTGGTATTTACCCATCCTTTGTTTATCTCACTCTTGAATTTGCAGATTTTCTAAAAGTACTACTATTTCCCCCCACCATAGTGCACTAACAGTAAAGGAGGTGGGCTGATGCCAGACCCATGCTCTCACAAGTCTAAACTGGATATATGTGCATTAGGGATTGACAGCATTCAAGAATGAAATTCTATGAAATTAGTTTGCATAAATGTTAATATTAAATAAGCATGCAAAATATAAGAAAATAAAAAAGTTAATATTCAAGTTATTAAACTGTCATAGTAATAACAATAAAATAGCATGATAAATTATAGTAATAATAACATAAAATGTTTTGTCAAAATATATGCAAAAGGTTCTAGGATAAGAATATTTGGGCTTCATCTATTTGTAGCATATCTCCTGAATAACTTATACAGCCTCCTAACTGGTCTCACCAAATTCAGCTTTGGACCTTGTTGATCCATTTTTATACAGGAGCCAGGGAGTTATTTTACCAACAGATAGTCATGTCTTCATCTAAGCTTCTGTTCCACAAATATATATAATTCAAGAACCATCATCACAATTTTGGACATTTTTATTACCATGACAATGGACAAATGTTCACACCTTCCTGAACCCTATAGTCAGCTTTTAAACTATGTACAGCTATAATGACCTCTGAATCACTCCTGAACAATAAAATGGCCAATTTTTAGTCTACATCCCTAAGAAAATTCCATGATTTTAATAAACAAATCATAAAATGTTTATAATTTTATGGATTTCTAAATACAACATATAGATTACAATATAATTAATGCTTCTTAAAGCATTATTATAACAAATTATTATTTGTTATAATAAATGTGGTTATGAACCATATCATAATACTATTATTTAAAATTTCTTATTTTTGTTATTTACTATGTTGTTTAAAAGATTCTCATTTACACTAACTTCTTAGTGCTATTTTATAGCTAATATGGACTCACTGTTTTAGTGTTAATAATAGGGAAACAGGTTCCAGATAGTTGTTCTGTATAATTATATTTAACTATTTATTAGTAGTGAAAGAAAAGGAGGTTAAATCAAAGCCATAGCAATAACATTACTTTATCACCTATATAGGTATTTTATTCTTAGGCAAGGCTAAAAATAACAGTTCAAAGAAAAGCAAATTGTTAAAGTTAAATGACCAAGCAATACTTTACAGGTTTTATTCTTTTCATCTCTTACTTGCTGGTTTAGCCTTGACTGTGGAGAATGGAGAAAAACGCCACATTGATGAATATAAACAATGGAAAAATAACTTTAGCATTTGTACTTAACTTTCTTAGTTTTTAGATTTCCTTCTTATCCTGTTTAATCCACTTGCACTGAGCTCTATTATTTCACTGTTAACAAATAGATTAATTACATTGCTAGTGAAAACTAAGACACGTGAAATGTATGTAAAATTTTAAACAATTGAGTCATAATACCCAAATACCCATATAACTAATTGAGATACTTAGGAGGCCGTATTAACACCTTAGGGTGAAAGTTAGGACCACGTTAAGTAAAATAATGAGCTTAGGCAATGGTTTAAATAGAATACAATTGCCATAAGAGGTCATTTGAAAAGGCCTTATGGGTTTTTTCTTTGTTTTGTAATCATAGTCTATAATTTCTCTAAATAGTTCTTTCCTGAATTCTATTATATTTCCCTCTAAGATACTGTATTTAAACCTTTATTATCATGATTATCTCAGTTGAAAGAAATTACTTCATAGACTTTTTCTTTTGGACTCTATAAATGACTGAGGTGAGTGGGATTTTCTGCCACAGAATCAAACAGAGGTTTAGGCTTTTAAGATGTCAGTAAAAATGAAGACTTGGTTTTGTTCATCCTTACTGAAGAGACCTCTAGAACTGCAAGAGTGCGTTCAATTCTTTATTTTTCTCACATGAAATACTAAAGGACGGACAGTTTTTCCTTTAATTGCATATTCTGCTGTTAATTCTTTAGGGTAAATTTTAAAAATTACATAATCCCCTAACTGTGGAGTTCTCATGAAATTATTCCATATAACACATAAATAGCAAAGAGTTTCAGTTTTTTTGTGTCTTTAAAATTTGAGAAAATGTGGTTTGAGAATAATATTAAAGATCTAATAGTACATAATAATCAGTACATTACATATATTTCTTCATGACTTATATGTAAACTTAGGTCAATCACACTTTTAAAAAATAAAATGTTACTCCAGTTTTCTAGTGTTAATTTCTATTAGACATAACTTTAGTTATTTACAAGAATTTAGAATCTTAGAATTTTTGTCACTAAAAGTGTACAAACTTCCATGGAGATATATGTGTGTGTATACCCACAGAAAAAGAACCGATACATAGAAAAAAAATATAAAATATCTCTTTACCTGTTTTTTCTATTGGGGTAGCTTTTACCTGCTTGGCACCTTTTTCTTCTGTGATAAGAAAAAATATTATCACAGGTAGACATTTTAAATGGGTAAGTACAAAATAATGACATATTTCAACCTTGATATTTTGTATTGTCTTTGAAATTACTACAATACTGAGAAAAAACATAGCCATTTCCTTAAAATAGCAGGTAATGTCTTCTATTTAAATTGGATGGAAGCACAAAGAAGACTTGTATACCTGCAGATGTCCTCTCAGCTATGTTGCCATAAAAGTTTTCCTAATTCAAATCACCCTTAACATACTCAAACACTCCTTATCCTTTACCTTTACTGTATTTCATTGTATTTGTCTACATAGAAGTGTTGTTTCCATAAAACATGTATCCTTTTTTCATTATTGAATTAGAATAATAAGAAGCATTTTTTTCATCTTTATCATGCAAGATACCTCCCTGGAAACCCAGGATTAGCCTGGGGACCCAAGTTTTTTATAATGTAAACCTGGGACAGCACAAAAGCACTACATCTATGGGATGTCTTCTGTTCTCTATGTTTTTCTTGACATAGTCAAAGATTGGGGTCAAAGTAGAGAGATTATTGCAATGATCCTATAAAATTAAATTTTTCAGGTAATCAGCTGGTCAAATACTCAAATGGAAAGCTTTACTGTGAAACAGAATTTTAAGTGTATAAATGTTATTACTGACATAAAAGAAAGGTGTGGTGAGAAAAATAAGGCATTTGCCATACACTCAAAGACTAAAATCTCCCACTGCCTCTGTAATTTCACTTCAAAATGACTGACATCAGGAACAGTGTAGAAAATAACAGGTTTCATTATCCTTTAAAAATTGTTTCTAAGGTCTTGCGTATGTTCATATAGAGAGCTATTCTCTCCTTCCCAAGCTCCAGCTCTGCTTTCTTTATTTCTATGGTTTCTGTTGCTGATATCTCATATTTTTCAAAACATAAGCAAATAAAATCATCCTGACTCAAACCCATTGTAAACAGATTCTTCAAAGTAAATTTTTAAAAATGAAAGCAAAAGGTTTCCTAAAATAGGTTTAGAGAAAATATGCTTTTAACTTTTTAAAGATTCTGGAAAAACCATGTTCACAGCATTGGGTAAATAATTCAGCAAGGAATGAAGGAAAAAATTCTACAAAATAACTGAGGTGTGGGGCTGCCTCAAAATTTTTATTATTTAATTAGCTTAAATTAAAACAAAGTTTCTTGTCTTAAATAAAAAATAATTAATAAACTCATCCTGGTAACTTCTGTATTTGCCTTTATGAAGAGAACACATTGGTTTACTTATATTTGGTCCAAAATGTAAAATCAGGAATAAAAAGAAAGGAAAGGAAATAAAAATGGAGTAAGAAAGAAAGGAGGAAAGGAAGTGGGGTGAAATGTTGATCTCCTTTTCTTTTTTTGGAGTCTAAGATGGTCACATTTGATTGAGTTAATGTGAATCACAAACATTTTCTAAGGATGTCTTACCCCAAACAGAACAAGACAAAAATAACATATAGAGCACATTCACCTGTGTGCTGACAAAGATGTCTTTGTGCTTTTAGTGTCTCTGATGGGAAGAAAGACTAGCTGTGTAGTTACTTGGGACTGGTCAAGTCCTCAGTACAAAAAACATTGTGAGGATGACTAAAACTGGGTATTCTAGAATCTGGATGACTCAAAACATTAATTCTATCTAATAATTTTATAATTGACTCCAAGCTCTTCATTCTGTTAAAACTAAAACATTTAGAGACAATGTGATACTACAAATACCACCTGCAAAATACCTGGTTTACCGTGAGAAACAGTCTTTTCTGGTTTCACTGTGTCTTGTTCTAAAAATAATAAAAAGAAAATATTTTCTGTTGTTTGGCTTTATGAAATAATGTACAGTGAATTTTCTTTGTGAGTTAGGCTAATAATGTGTTAAGCAGAAGATTCCAACAACTGTACCCATGGAGAAAAACTTCCTAAATTTTCATGTCATCCTACTTCACATGAAAACCTTAAAGGTTTTAGTTGCATAAAAACCATATACCAAGAATTCCTATTTACATGTAAGCATCCATGATATCTAAAGATCAGGCTGTAATAAAGCATCAATCCTGAAATTGAGAACTTAGGCAATGATTGGCATAGAGTACAATGGTCATGTGGAATAATGTGAGAATATATATTATTAAAAATACTTTAAAATTTCTTGCAAAAATTCTATATGAGTATTATAGATGAAATTCACATATATACTGCATATTTGAGCTTTTCTAGATGACGCTAAAAAGAAACTCTTATTTATAAAACTAAATAATAACATTCAATTAAATCACTGCAAAACTACAATATTTAACAATAATAAATAAAAGTTTTAAATGATATTAGGACTACCTAGAAGTATTAAGTGGTATTAGGTTTCTGGTAAACAAAAAAAAAAAAAAGGAGGGAATGTGATATGCAAAGTATTTATATTTGGTAACGTATACTCATCTACAGCAAATAAATATAGTCAGAACAATAAATCAGACAATAGATAGACATCTATGAGCCTTGTCACATTAAAAAAATATCAGTTATAGGAGCAACTAGATTCAAGCTTATAATCAGCTGCTAGGTAATACTTGGTAAGAATTAAATAGTTAATATTATTTATATATACATATATATATTTGGATTCTTGAACTTCTTGATATTGAAGAATATTGCTGTACAACTTTTATAATGAAGACATCACTTCTCTAGAGCTGGAGGCAAGTTGTAACTTGCCTCAGGTGAAGAGCTGGCTGGTGCCAGAGTTAGGACACAAACACTAAATAGCAGTGGAAACTTGGCAAGGCCACCCTGATTTTAGGTCAATGTTACCTCAATACACTGACTGTTAATCTGAGACAATCTTTTACTGGGAGCACCCAAGATTTTGAGTAAATCAGACATGGGCATAATCTGTTAACTTAAAAATATTGGAAAAGTAATTTCTGAACTTGGTCCTTGAATTGTTTCCACAGATATTAAATATGAGTAATAATTGTCCTGTTTCATATCCTTCATAGTTATAAGATGAAAATAAAAATCCTATGCTATTCCTTAACTCAAAGCAGGTTTTTGATAATTATTAATTATATGTAATCATACATAATAATAATTCTTGTCCTCTTTTCCTGCAAACCTCAGTTGTCTATGGTTTTGTGATTTTATGACTCTGGTGTGTTATCAGAAAGGAAGTCACAGATTCAATATTATCATACTTGGTTTTGAACAACCCCAGGAAATGCTTCCTAAAAATTAGAGTCTCTGATGAAGCTTATCTAAAGCCATATTTTTGATATTTTTACCTATCCTCATTCTCAACTAATCCAGGACTATAAGACCATATTGATCAATAGAGTAGGAAAATAATGAGGATCTGGGAAACTCTATTTAAATCTTCACTGATGGGTGGTAAGCCTTTTTAAATGAAGATGATATCAGCTCTATCAATTTAAGAATTAAAAAATTATTACCTGATTTTGTTTCTTTTGTAACTTGTGGCTCTGAAAGTAAAACAGAATGCAAATATTTTAAAATCTGAAAAAACAAACTAGAGCACAAACTTATTTTTGGAAATTATTTTGTTGACCATAATTGAAAAAGCAGAATTGCATTAAAAATCATTCCAGTTTCATGCTAGTTTCTAAATACTGGATTATTAAATGCATAGTAGTTAGAATTATGCTATGTACTAAGTTGTTGCTATTGCTAATTGATTTTAACCTGAATTTTCTGTTTCCTCAAGATGGTTGTTGTGGAAAATAGTTCCACTGTCAACATAAGACAAATGATTTGACAACAAGATTAGGAAGAGTTTCTTTGAAATACATGTATTTGGGTACTTAATGATTTAGAAATTTAGAAAAAGAGTGTGATGGCTTGAATTGTGTCCCATCAAAAGATATGTTGAAGTCTTAACCCCCTCCTTGTTCCCCAGAATGTGAGCTTATTTGGAAATAAGATTGTTGCAGATATAATTAGTTTAGGTAAGATGAAGTCATACTCTAGTACTAGAGTATGACTTCAATCTGACTAATGTCTTTTAAAAAAAAGAAAAGAGAAACAGAACAGCTCAAGTGTCCATCAGCAGATGAGTGGATAAAACAACTGTGGGACATTTACACAACAGAATACTACTCAGCTGTAAAAAAGAAGAAAATTTTACCCTTTGAGACAGCATGGATGAACTGGAGAACATTATGCTCAGTGAAAACAGTCAGTCAGAAAAATACAAACACCATATGATTTCACTCATATGTGGAATTTAATGAACAAGCTAAACTAAAAGCAAAACGGAGGCAGATTTATAGACAAGAGATCAGGCTGACGGATCTGGGAGGAGGTTGGGGACTGGAGAACTCAAGCAAGAAATAAAAGGACTCATGGACATAGGCAACAGTGTGGTGATTACAGGGAGGAGGTGTGTGGGTGGGGTTAGAAGAGAGTGTAAGGGGGATAAAGGGTAATGGAAAAAAATATATATATATCCCTAAAAAACATACACTCAGGAAGGAGATGGTCTTGGCTAAGGGATGCTGAGATTGGAGTGATGCTTCTACAAGCTAAAAAACACTAAGAATTTCTGACAAACAAAAAAGCTAGAAAAGGTAAGAATAGATTCTTGTCTATAGGCTTCCAAAGAAGTGTATCTCTGCACACATCTTGATTGTAGACTTCTAGCCTCTAGAACTATGGGAGAATAAATTTTCATTGTGTAAACCTACCCAGTTGTGCTACTTTTTTCCAGCCATACAAGGAAACTAATAATTTTGGTCCCTGGAAGTGGAGTGAGTTGGGTAATGGGATAAAGCTGGAAAATTTTTGAGGCACTTGATATAAAAAGCCCAGATTGCCTGGAAAAGACTACTGACAGAAAATTGACATTGAAGATTATTCTGCTGAGGATTCAGAAAGAATTGAGAGGAGCTGTAGAGAAAGCTCTGTCTCCTTAGAGAGTACATATATCATCATGAACAAAACATTGTTAGAAATAAGAATGTGTAATGTACTTCTAAGAATTTAGAAGGAAATGAGGAACATGTTATTGGATACTGGAATAAGGGTGATCTTTGTTGTAAAGCAGCAGAGAACTTGGCTGAATTGCGCTCTTTCATTGGTTGGAAGGAAAGATTTATAAATGAAGAACACAGATATTTAGCTGAGGAAGTTTCCAAGCAAAGTGTCAAAGGGTCAGCCTGATTTCTCCTTGTTGCTTATAAAAAAATGTGAAAAAGAAGATAAGTTGAGGAATGAATTGGTAAGTAAAAGAAACCAGAATTTAATGACTTGGAAAATTTTCAACCTATCTTAATAGAATGAATGCGAGACAGGACAATGGTGTGGCTGGGCAAAGTTTTGCTAAAGTGGGCAAAGGTTAAATGTGTGACTTATGGATCCAATTCACCATCTCAGCAGAAGGCAACAAAAAAGACATGTGACCCAAGAAAGATCTTTGGAGGACTTTCCTGCCAAATGGCTAGGACCCCCATTAATTAAACTCAAGACATCATGTTTCTGAGAATACTATACAGACAGAAGAAATGCAACCTGGCTAGAAAGAGATAGAGATGGGATGAAATAAAGAAATAATAACTCTGAGGGCAGAACAACAGGTTCACACCTGGACTGGTGGGACCTCATCAGAGACAGAGGGCAGGCCTGCCACCGAGGTAGGCCAAGAGGAGAGATCCACACCCTACCAGGCCCAGAGGACATAGCATTGAGCCAAAAGGATTTTCTCAGTCTTTGAAATCTAATGGAATTTTCCTGCTATGTTTTGGATTTACTTGGAAACCATGACTCATTTTTTCTTTCCAATTTCTCCCTTTTGGAATAGAAATGCTTATCCTATTTCTGTCCCACTGTTTCATTTTGGATGCAGTAATTTGTTTTCTCATTTTATAGGTTCACATGTGGAAAGGAATTTTCTGCAAGAAGAATCATACCCTGAGTTTTACCTATAATGGATTTACAGAGTGAGATTTGGGACTTTGAATTAATAACATTTTGGACTTAGAGTTGATGCTGAAATGGATGAGACTTAAGGATTGTGGAATATATTTTGCACCACATGAATGACAAGAATTGCAGAATCAGAGAGTAGACCTCTATGTACTGAATTTTGTCTTCCAAAAAGATATTGCTGGAGTTTTAACCCCCAGTACCTCAGAATGTGACCTTCTATGGAAATGGGGTCATTGTTGACTTAATTAATTAAGAATTTTTCATATGAGAGTAGGGTCGGTCCTTAATTCAATATGACTGGTGTTCTTATAAGAAGAGGAGGAAAGGTACAAGATAGAGACAGAGTAAGAAATGATATCCATGTGATGGCAGAAGCTAAGGTTGGAGTGACACTTTGACAAGACAATGAACACCAGGGATTGCTGGCAAACGCCAGAAGCCAGAAGATGCAAGGATTGATTCTTTCTTACATGTTTCAAGAAAAACATGGCCCTATTGATACCTTAATTTTAGACTTCTTATTTCTAGAACTATGAGAAACTATATTTCTGTTGTTTTAAGCCACCCAATTTGCGGTATTTTATTATAACAGCCCTACAAACCTAAAACAGTTAGGGAACCTGAACCAAAATATTAACCCTTATGAGAATCTAACTGATGTTTATTCTTTTAAAAAAAAATTTCTGCTGCCTACTACAGGACTCAGAAATGTTTATTTCACTCAGGATCCCCCACAAAAAGAGAAGAGTAAGAGCAGCTGTTTTTCTTTTCTGATGAAATATTTATGTCCTATATCAGCAAATAAAATCAGCAAAAATAGTGGTTTTGAAGGACTGAATCCAAATAGTCAATTTTTTTCTGAATAATATAAATTTCCCCAAAATTTTCTTCCTAAGAACAAGTAGTATGAAATATGTACTATGTTTGTTTTATTGTAAAAATTGGTCAAGGATAAAATTTTAGTATACTTTATACTAAATATAAATAAATAATATTTATACTAGGACACAAATTTACAAAGACCTGTTATGCTATTCATTATAAATACAGAATGTAGGTATGAATTTATCCATAAAACATACATACCTAACTTCTCTTCTCTTTTTAGTTGTGGCTCTGAAAATATATACACACAGTAATAATGATGATTATATAAAGATATTTATTTCTTGTACTCTTGCACACAGGGGTGGGCAAAAGTGGGTTTACAATAGTTTGTATAGAAAGTAATACAACAATTAATAAGTGATAATGCAAGACTAGACTCTATTTCCTGTACTCGCAACTGTAAACCTACTTTTGCCAACCCTATTTCTTTACACATTATTCAGTTTTTAATGTCATGTTAATTTTCATCTTATAATTGCAGCAAATTAATATAAACAAATAAAGATTCCTCATTATCAATCACAAGAGTTGTTTTGACAAAAAATAAAATGTGACCTAAAATTTTTAATGAAAAGTTAATTAAAGGTACTGATTTATACCTTCAGTGAAAAAAGAGTGAAGGAAAATTTTAGCATAGCATGTTCTGAGAACACTTAGACTAATAGGTACATTGTGTAGAGAAAACAATTGTCTCAGATTTATGTAAAATACTCAGCAATGGAATTATGAAGTGATTAAAAGCATGCATTTAAGATTTGTTCATTCATGCATGCATGCATTCATACATTCATTCATTCATTCATTCATTCTGGCATGAACGTTAACATACGTGAAGGCTTAGGCTTGACTTCTTTGCCTAGAAAAAAATTTAAAAAAATTATTAAAGACTCAGACATTCAATTCTTATTGAATCGTCATTGAATACGATAGAACATTAGAAATTTGAAAATAAAAATCAAACAATAATAGGCTGTAGCCATTCTTCTTTATTAAAGTTGTATAGGATATGTAATTTAATGTTCATGCTAAGTTACTAATTTAAAAATTATTTTAAAAAATAAAGCACTTAGTTTAATTTCATTGCATTGTTAAAAATAATTTGTTTACAAACTCCTGAGTGCAATGTTAACTTTTTAATCTAACATTAATAGAGCACCTAAGTTTTTGAGGCATTACTTTTAACCTTTCATTACCCAAGATGAAAAATCTAAGACAATTTTTAAGTTTCCATCAACATTTTAAAAATGTTATCTGTCCAAATATAATACATTACAAATAATTGCTGCTGAATTTATAATTCCTTATGACTAGAAATATATAATTTGTTTTTCTTGGCATGAAGACTCCTAGCGCAGGGGTTGGTAAATTTACTGTGAAAGGTCATATATTATATATTTTTGGAATTTGGGCCATATAATCTCTGTTGCAACTATGCAACTCCCTTATTGTAGCACCAAAGAAGCCATAAACAATACACAAATGAATAAGAATGTCTATGTCCCCATAAAACTTTATTTACAGACACTGATGGCCAGAGTATAGGCCATTGTTTGCCAGCATTCCTCTATCCATCGTCAGTTTTAATTTTCTTTATTATCTTAAGAAAGTTTATGACATTAAAAAAATAAATAAAAATAAAACACCTTCCTTTGATTCTGTATTCTCTTAGAGTCACTAGCCATACCCTTCCATCACTGCTCAACTCAGCTTCAACAGAGACAAGAGGGAACGAGGTGGGGGGGCAGGGAAAGGGAAGGGAAGGAGAAAGTCAAGGAACATATAGCAAGGACTCATGGACAAAACCAAAGGGGAAGAGCTGAGGGAGGGAAGGAGGGAGGGGACAAGGGAAAGTGGTGGAGGGGAGGCAGAGACAAATGTATTTAAAAAATAAATAAATAAATAAATAAATTAAAAAAAAAGCTGCATACCACTTTCCAACTCAATGATGTTCTAGAAAAGGTAAAACTATAGAGACAGTGAAAAGATCCATGGTTTCCAAGTATGGGAGGAGGGGGCAGGAAGGAGGTGGAAGAAAATTTTAGGCAGTGAAGATGCTTGTGTTATAGTATAATGAGGGGTATATGTCATTATACATTTATCCAAATCTATAGCTATACAGCACCAGGAGTGGACGCAGATATAACCTATGGACTGTAGGTGATGTGTCAGTCCTTGTAGGTTCATCAGTCATGCTACCAAATGTCCCACTGTTGTAGTGAATGTTGACAAGGAGGGAGGCAATGCACATGTGAGGTAAAGGAGTAATAGGAACTCCCTGTGCCCTTTCAAAAAAAAAGAAAAGAATGTTTTTACTTGTTTTTTGTTCATCTCTTGACTCCCACTCATCATCAATTCACTGTAATCTAGCTCCCATTCCTTGTATTCTATTCATCAGGCCTCACTGATCATGTTTTCTCCTACATGCCAAGACCAATGAACACATCCAATTATATTGATCACTCTCAATTTTTTAAATCCCTGTTACTTAGGTTCTCATAAGAATGCACATAACATTCTTTTGCAATGGAATAAATATTAATACTGCTAGTGACTTCTAGCTAAAATGAAATAGCAGAGACCAGTTAGTTCTCACAATTGAAATTATAGAAAACACAGTAGAAAAAATATATAAAACAATAGTTTTTAAAGATACGGACATCAGACAACAAAGGACAGTAATCCTTAAGTGATGGGAAACAAATAACGAATGCTCTGTAATTCTTCCAGCTTAATGCCTTGGAGGAGTTACAAGGCACCAGTAGTGTGTGATAGAGCTGAGTTAATGGCATGGAGGTTGGCATCCAGAAGGGCCAAGATGTATCAGAATGAGGTAAAGTAGATTACTGCAGAAAGAAGAAAGAGAGAGACAGAGAGATCAAGACAGCTCTGGAGATTTGCAGAAGGCTCCTTTAAGTCTTGAGAAGAGCACTGACAAGCACATGCATGCAAAGAGACTACCTGAGGCCAGGGAAAGAAACAATGGGGAGAATACTGTAGCTTGTTATAGTAGCTGTTGAAGTTAGGTAGTGTTAGTCCTCCAATATTGTTCTTTTCCTTCAGTGTTGTGTCGGCTACTCTAGATTGTTTCCATTCCATATAAAGTTTAAAATCAGTTTGTCAGTATTCACAAAATACCTTGCTGGGATTTTGATGGAGATTTCATTGACTCTGTAAATCAAATTGGGAAGAATTGACATCTTAGACAACATTGAATCCACAAACATGGAATATCTCTCCATTTATTTATATCTCTTTTTTTCCATCATATTTTTGTTCTCTTTGCTTTTTTTTTTTTTTTTGACCAACTTCTACTTTGGGCTCAGTTCCGCTACCTCTTCTTCTGAAAGACTTGTCTGATGTTGGTTAATTATTATGTTAATCACAATCTAATATAGATATTAACTGAGACAATGCCTCCTTTTCTAGACTGCGAGATATTTGTGGACAGAGGTCATGTATTTCCACCATTGAATCCAGAGAACTGTTACAATGCCTAATACATGGTTACATGGTAAGAACTCAATAATTGTTTCTTCATACAATAGATAAAATAATTGATGAAAACAAAAGAATGTAAATAAATGAAGAAATTGATCAAAGAAAAATAAAGGAAGGAAAATATGTGAATTCAGGAATTACATTAGAACACAAAATGCATCTTGAAGTTACTGTATATTACCTTTGACTTGGAAGGATAGTTTGCCTCTCAGCTTTTTGGTACTCAGGTAAAGATAAAAAGTACAATAAATTATGCAAATCACAGCATTTTAAGATGTAAATGTTGAAGAGAAGCACAATAATTCCTAGTAATGATATCTGAGATAAATTTGTTTTATGTATTCCCGGGGGGGGGAAAAAAGACTGCATAATATGTAAATAGCATCTTCTACAATATTCCCACCCTAAATACGTAAAAGTTTTCATAGGAATCCATCTACTGCTCTCAACATGGAACAGTGACAGTATACCAAGTAAGTTCAATTAGAGAAATGTTGCTTTGAGTCCTATCAGAGTGGCACAAATAAACAGCAATACACTCTGACTAAACACAATAAAATCAAAGTTGTAGAAACTCTATACAGTGATGTTTGGAGGACTGACCAGCTATGTTTCCTTTTGACAATGCACCCCTATGTTCATTGTAGCATTATTTATAACAAACAAGAGATGGAAGCAAACCAGATGTCCATCCATAGATGAATGAATAAGGAAATGTGATGTACATACATACAATGGATTATTGAAATTTTAGTATTTGTGACAACAGAGATGAACCTAGAGGGTATTCTTCTAAGTGAAATAAGTCAGAGAAAGATGAACACCACATAATTTCACTTATATGTGAAATCTATAAAACAAAATAAATGAACAAAAAAAATGGAAACAAACTCAGATACAAAGGAAAAATCGATGGTCACCAGATAGAGGTGGGTAGGTAGGCGGGTAGGTGAAAAGAGAAAGAAATTAAAATGTACAAATTTCCAGATATACAAACAGTCATGGAAATATAAAGCACAGCATAGGGAATACAGTCAATAATATTGTAATAATTATGTATAGTGCTGGGTGGGTACTACATTTGTTGGGGTTATCAATTTGTAAAGTATATGTAAAAAAAAGAATAGAAATGAAGGAAAGATTAGATAATTTCTAAGGTCTCATCTACGTCTAAAATTTTATATTTATGTTAAATATTAATTTAAACATAAATAATAAATCATTTATTACAGAGACACAATTTAGATAGAAATCAACCAGAAATGTTGCAGCACTAATTCTTTTTGAACTTATTGATCTTAAGTAATTCTAGTTACGCAACTTTAGATAAATTTTTTGCTGTGGAAGCATGTTTAAGTCGAAGGGCAGATCAACAAACCTAGTTTTTAAGACCAGTGAGTATGTTCCAAATATAATATAGCTCTTTAGTGCAGAGCAGATGTTGGCTCTGCTGTAGATGTACATCTCAGCCAGGAAAAACAAACCATCTAACTGGCACTTTACTTTTTAAATTGACTCAAAGATTAATATATAAACTTTGTGCTATATATACTGAATAAGCAAACCATTTGGAGGAGGCAAGAAAATATCATAAGGACTTTTATAGGATGCTTGAATCAGTTCCAAAATCATATGGCAATTTACTAGATGGCATTATTACTCAGCTCCGTGTCTTATGAAATTTTCAATATTTTAATCAAAATTAAAATGGAAAAAGTATAAATATATAAAATATATTATGAAACTCTAAAATAAAATGCTTTCTGACCTGTATACAAATATGAGTAAACAAATAATTCTTCTTGTTCTTTTTTCTGTGAAGGTATTCTTATATAGCAACAGTCACATTTAGTAAATGTGCAGTATAATGTACAGTATTTCAAACAAGTACAGTTACTTGTTTAAACAATAACATAGTGTTATTTATTTAATGTTCAGAAATATACGTTTAGATTTAGTAAAAAATGATGTGAGGCTTAGCATTATCTATGTAGTGCTGAAAATCAGGGAAAGAAATTACAGTTAATGCTTGAATATCCCCCCTTAGTTTTCTGAAAGCCATTTGATAAGGAAAAAGTGCCTCTTAAAATTGAATTAAATATCTGGAATTTTTTTTATTTCATGGTAGGATAGACGGAAATGTTATCTAGTAGATAAGAGGTAAAAATATTGTTCTGGCATTTTTTTTTAATTTTAAAAACAACAGTATTTGGCAGTATGAGAAGGTAGTGTTTGGGAGGTTCTTTAAGGTGTATTTTATTGAGGTCTATGGCGGATGTGGCCTGCTACATACATGAACCCTGTGAAACTTCAATGCAGAAATGACTTTTTCAACCTCATTGGCTTGGCATTGTATTGAGTTTTTTAGGCACCTATTATTTTGTTGAATTTCTTAAAGCTGTACTATAACAAATTTCTATGGAATCTTTTCAGTTGTTATTCAAGCACTCTTCCTTTGAAAATTTTGTTCTCACAATCCCTCTGAGACAGTTATGTTATCTTTTGTCTCAAAAAATTGGTGAGAGATTCCTTGGGTCCTGCCACTTGATATTCAGAGAGATTAAAGTGATCTAGGTGAAACTGTTTAGCAGCAAATGTTTGTCTGGACCATAATCAAATATGAGAGATTACAAGATGTCAATGTTAACCAATATAAAAATAGCAGAGGTTAAGCACAACTATTACTTTAAAGTCTTTTTTTTGTACAGAACTTGATATAGCTTTGATATCACACCATGATTATTGAACTATTCTATTATTTATTCATCAAGCCTTTACATTTAGTACATGCTAAGCACTTCAGTTTCTCAAGAACATTTAGCCTATAAAGTTTACCTATTAATTGAAACAATTATTATGGACAAATGTAATTCTGGTAACAGTCATATAAATTAGATTTGGTTGAAATGCAGTGCTAGGTGCATCTTCTTCAAAGAGCCTGGAAAAGGACATGAATTCCAGACATCACACATATCCTTTGAAAAGTTGGGGAAAGATGGAATAAAAAGAAACATATAGATTTTTTTCACTGTTGACACACAGGAAATTTAAACGTAATAAATCGGAAATCGAACTCATGATCTAGTATTCTCTCCTCCAAATACATTTCCTATATTGGTAAATGACATCACAGTCCACCTACAATTTTAACAAGGAATCTGGAAGTCAACCTAAAGTATTCTCCCTGCTCTGTCATTCCTATTCAGTTGTACACATTGTCCTGGTAATTACATGTCCTAAATATACCTTGAGTGTATTTCTACTTTTCCACTTCTACTTCATTTTCTCCTCAGGTCCTACCTACAATATAGCCTCAAATACATCATTTTCATTTCCTCATTTCTTTCCTTACCTGATGTTCTTTCCCCCTTCTTGCAACCTTTCACCATACCATGTCCTTTTAAGACAGCTCAGCTATTGTCTCCCTCCGGAAGCCTTTCCTGAGTTCCTTTCAAGATGGGTTATATGTCTCTAATCTGTACTCTTAGCATCCTATTTAAACCACTATCCCTACACATTGTAATTATTTACAATACTTTGTAATTATTTACTCATTTCCCTTCCCCAAATAACTTGTGAAATTCATTAGGCAGGGACTGCAACTATCATGTTAGTATTCTTAGCGTTGTGCATTGTCTCAAACATAGTCAACAATAATTGTCTTTAATGAACAAGTGGAAAACCTACAGAAATGGAACATTCCTCTAGTCAGTAAAGCACGAACTGAACACACTCCCACTGACAGCCTATCAAAGACACTGCAACTGTATTTGAGAAGGAGGTGCAAAAAGAGTTATTTTAACTCTGTGGCCCTTCTCTGAAACATATCAACAAATCTTTCATTTTTTTCTTTACATAGCAGGTTTTTCAAAATTGTGTATGATCACCTTGATTTGAGATAAGTGAAAATAAAATGTGAAAATTTGTGTATGGGATTTCTCATTAATATTGGTTATGGTTATTTCATCCAAGACAAGGAGAAAATAATACCCTGTTTAATTTTCTATTAAACTATTGAGTAGTTTTTATCTGGAATATAAAATTTATTGATCATTTTTGGTTGAATAGCACTATCTGGAACAGTTTATTTTAATTATTGACATTTACTGAACTTTGTTACCTTAAATACCTCTCCATTACATTCTGGTCCTCTAAGTGGGTCTTAGGAAAAAAAAAAAAGAAATAATAAGAAATAAATCCCCATCAAGATGTAAGCCCTGTGAGATTTAACCCTTGTTTTAAAGGTCAGGTCATGGAGTAAGGATGGAGAGTTTCTGAGAAGGACAAAGTCAAATATCTGAACTTTGGTGGCTTGTCCGAAGTGGCCAGGCATAGCCCCAAGGCACCGCTTTTTCTGCCATATTTGTTATTGGTCACATTGATCTCAGCCTGACAGTATTTTGTTCTAAAACCAAGGATGTGAAAATAGAAGAGATGTGTAGTTAATATTGGTTTTCTTCTCTACTATACCCAAGTAAATAGTCTCATTTTCCTTTTTTAAGGTGTTTCATGTTATTGAGAGCTAAATTTGAACAGCATATGAAAGAAAAGAGAAGATTCCTCATGTTGTCCAAAAGAGGTATTTAAAATATTTTCTTCTGGAATATGATTCAGTTATTAAATATGAACCCTGCTTTCAGCATAATAACTGTGAAATGAGATTGAAAATA